TGTAATCTTTAGGGGGAGCCCTGGTGGAGAAAAGGTTAAGGGCTTGGCTGCTAACCAAAAGGTTGGCAGTTTGAATCCACCAGCCGCTCCTTGGAAACCCTCTGGGGCAGTTCTACTCTGTCCTATAGGTTCGCTATGAGTCGGAATCTATTCAACGGCAACAGGTTTGGTTTTGGTTTTGAAATCTTTAGGGGAGCAGATCACCAGGTCTTTCTCCCATGGAGTCATTGGGTGGGTTCGAATAGCCAACAAGGTTAGCAGCTGAGTGCTTAATCACTGCACCTCCCAGGGACCTTACCTAGGGGCTATTACTGAAAATAGATGTTCAACTCTGAATGGTGAGTGCTCACCAAGTCCAGAGCCTTGAAAGGTGTGTCCCTTCAGTGACTCACGCCTTCCTCGTGCAGTTTTGCCTTCAAAAACACCTGCTGACTGTATTCCCTCTCCAATGGGAGTGAACCTAAGATTCACTCAGACCTGGCTCTCGGCCCCTAGCCCCGATGTCCCCCGTCAGATCTGGGAGTAGCTCCTTGAGATTGGTGGCCTGTGGCTTCCCAGTGTCCAGTGGTGGAGGGAATCATGGAATCAGAGTGACAAACCCCATGGGAAGGAGAAGAGAGGGAGTCGGCACCCCTTATCCTTTCAGAAAGGACAGAAACATCCCAGGCTCTCGGACCTGCCTCTCTCTCGGAGGTCTCCCCCCATGCTGGTCCCAAGCAGCCACTTTGGGGTCTGTGGGTGGGGATGGGGTCACCCCGATGGGCACCACAGGTTCCCCCCACCTTCTGATGGGAGAGGTTTGAGGGCCTAACTGTTTACCTTGGGAGTGAGTAGACCCTGCTGTCAGTTTTTAAAGTTTCTTTGGCAATATAATGGGCTTAAAGTCTAGCCTTCTGCTCTATTTGTTTCTTATCAGTTGTTAGTGACTGTCATGGATTGAATTATCTCCCCCCAAAAATGTGTGTATCAATTTGGCTGGGCCATAATTCCCAGTATTATGTGGTTGTCCTCCATTTTGTGATTGTAATTTTGTGTTAAAGAGGATTAGGATGGGATGGTAACACCCTTACTAAGGTCACATCCCTGATTCAAAGTAAAGGGAGTTTCCCTGGGGTGTGGCCTGTACCACTTTTATCTTAAAAGAGATAAAAGGAAAGGGAAGCAAGCAGAGTTGGGGACCTCATACCACCAAGGAAGCAGAGCTGGGAGCAGAGTATGTCCTTTGGACCTGGGGTCCCTGTGCAGAGAAGCTCCTAGTCTGGGGGAACATTGATGAGAAGGCTGACAGAGAGAGAAAGCCTTCCCCTGGAGCTGTTGCCCTGAATTTGGACTTTCAGCCTACTTGACTGTGAAGGAATAAATTTCTGTTTATTAAAGGCATCCACTTGTGGTATTTCTATTACGGCAGCACTAGATGACTAAGACAGTAACCGAAACCAGAGATCTTATCTATCATTGTGTTTGAGCCTGGAATTTGGGGAGGGTTAGCTATCTCCTAGCCACAGGATCTCCCATCCCTCCATTCTCTGTCCATACCTTACAGGGTTGTCCAAGGATTACATGAGATAGTACATGTAAAACGCTTAAACAGGGCCTGGCATAGTAAACAGTAAAACACTGGTAGCGCAACAGTTAAGCGCTCAAGTGCGAGCCTGTTAACCAAAAGGTTGTCCATTCAAACCCACCCAGGGACTCCTCGGGAGAAGAACCTGACAGTTTGCTCTCATAAAGATTACTCTGTCACATGAGGTCGCTCTGAGTCGAAATTGAGTCAATGGCACCTAACAAACACAACACAGGTCTATGTATTTCTCATTTTTAAAAGAAAGTAAATATTTTTAGTTTAAACAGCATGGAATAATCACGACAAGGCTAACAAATTATTGTCAAATAGAGGCCTTAGGAGAAGGGCCTAATTATCTGTAAACAAAATAATGAAGTCAGGAACCACTTCTTATCCCGTAATGTGTACGTAAATTAACACTGGAGGCTGTTTAAAGACTTTCTTCACCTAAGTAGGTTAATTTAAACTTGCTCCCTGGAATGTTGCATGTTGTTTGTGCGTGGACTCTGACTTGATGGCGTGTGAGTGACGTGACCATGCAGGGGCCTCGAGGAGCAGGCACTGGGCGCCCCATGCTCAGAGCGTTCCTCCGCAGAGATGCCTGGCGAATACAGAGAGGAGACACCTGAACTAGACCTCTGATGGCGGAAGTCACACCTTCCCATCCATGGACCAGATGGAGCAATACACAGCCCTGCATGGAACAGGAGGAAGAGCAGGTGTAACTAAGGTATGGAAGGTAGGGCACGTGCCCTGGGCGCCGCTTGAGGCGGGGCGCTATGAGCAGTTTCTATTGGCCATTGTAGTTTCTGTTGCCAGCTGTGAGAGATCATTCAGCAATTTAAAACTAATTGCTATAGGTTCTTTCACGTAGATAGGCCTCTGGCAAGAGCACACGTGCTCCGATGCTCATCAGGCAGGGTCCCAGACTGGTTAAAACACAAACCAAACTGTGCTTATACAGGTAGTGAGTGGGGGATTTAGCTGGTTCAAGCCTGCCATCTCAATATTTTTTGGCCCCTTGTACCTAGAGTAAGTATACCTGTAAGTACTGCTGCCCTCCTGCAGACAAGCCTGTGTATCAAGCCCATGGGATAGGTTGTTGTTAGGTGCTCCAAGTTGATTCTGACTCATAAATGACCACATATGACAGAGTAGAACTTGCCACATAGGGTTTTCTAGCCTGTAATCTTTACAGGAGCAGATCACCAGGTCTTTCTCCTGTGGAGAGGATGGTGCGTTTGAACCACCAACCTTCTTCAATTAGCGGCTGAGGGCTGAAACACTGCACCACCATGGCTCCTTGTCTTTGACATAGTTGATCCCTTTTTTATCCTGTTTGTGTTTCAAGGTGTTACTAGATAAAGCTAGTTACTAGAGTAACACCTTGAAAACCAAACAGAATAAATACATGTATCTGCAGACCCATTCTCTGTTGTCCGCGGGGAAGAAAGCATTCTGAGAGCGTGAGACGTTCTTACCCGAAAGTCCCCACTGCAGACATGGATCCGACCTGAGGCTCCTCCTCCTCAGCACTACACAAGTCCAAGATGGTGCTGGAAGGGGGAAGAACGCTGGCCAGGAGTCAGGCCTTGCTGCTGACTCTCGTTATTTGTCATAAACCAAAAAACCAAACCTGTTGCCGTCCAGTCGATTCCAACTCATAGCGACCCTATAGGACAGAGTAGAACTGCCCCATAGTTTCCAAGGAGCGCCTGGCGGATTTGAACTGCTGACCTTTTGGTTAGCAGCTGTAGCTCTTAACCACTGCGCCACTAGGGTTTCCATTTATTGTAAGTAAAGTAAAATTACTCAAGTAAAAAAATTATAGAAAAAAAATTATAGGGTACTAAATAAGAAAATATGTGTGAAGGAGCAGTTAAAACTTTGAAGACCCAAATAGAATCATGATATTCTTATTGTTATATACTATGACTACTACTGCTGTGTTCTGTCAAGTTGATTCAGACTCATAATGACCCCATGTGTACAGAGTAGAACTGCCCCATAGGGTTTTCCTGGCTGTAATTTTTACAGGAGCAGACCACCAGGTCTTTCTCCTGTGGAGCCACTGGGTGAGTTCAAACTGCCGACCTTTTCGTTAGCAGCCAAGCACTTAATCATTGTGCTACCAGAGCACCTTCCTACTACTAATACTAATATTAATAAATCCAGGGTTGTGCTGCATAATCTGCCCAACAGTCCCCTACAGAACACATACTCTAAAAATAGGGGAAGTGCACTTATGGTAATTTTGGGGACAATTATGCAATGAATATTGCTACCATGATCCATTGACTTGGAGTAGATATCAGCAAGTTGATAGATCAAGCTCATGTTCACATTCTGTTATAATAGACACGAGCCCTGGTGGTGCAGTGATTAAGAACTCAGCTGCTAACCAAAAGGTCAGCAGTTTGAATTCCACTAGGTGCTCCTTGGAAACCCTCTGGGACAGTTCTACTCTGTCCTATAGGGTCGCTATGAGTCAGAATTGACTTGACAGCAACGGGCCGAGACTTACAATTAAACATCATAAGATTTCTTTGAAATGAAAGGTTCCCTAATGTATTTCTAAATGACTTCATTTTAATTCTCTATCTAACTCAAACCTGCTTTTAGAAAATCAGGTAGCACACATTTAGAGCCGGAGAGGGCAGCTCTTGTAACCTGCCCACGGTACGAAGTGATGGAAGCCAGAACACTGTGAGAGACTGGGGGCTGAGTGAGAAGTTGCTTGTCCTGTATCACAATTTATCTTTAAATCTAAGTATATGGTGCCCCCATCTTCTAGGAAATGGAAGGTTAACTTCCTTGGAAAAGACACATACATTCCACTTTTCATTTAAAGAATTTATAGGCATTAGCTAGACTGAAATGATGGGTGGCTGCTGAGCAGAGTTCTTCTGAAGAATAAATGAGGCCCCTTTGGTACATCTGACTTTAACTGTGATGCCCTAACTTGGGAAGTGAGACGGATACCTAATAATCAAGTTGGCAGATAAGCGGCAGTTAAAACTAGTTAAGTGTTAGGTGCATATTCCTATTATACCCCAGGAAAATCAAAGAAAAGACTAACCTCTTGCCTTTATGTTGTTTTTGCAGTAAGCAAGTTCCATTTATAGTGTTCTAAAATTGATGCATTTGAACTGTGTGTTGGTGGAGAATACTGAATCTACTGTGGACTGCTAGAAGAACGAACAAATCAGTCCTAGAAGAAATACAACCAGAATGTTCCTAAGAAGATAGTATGGCGAGACTTCGGCTCGCTTACTTAGGACACGTCATCAGGGAAGACCAATCGCTAGAAAAGGACATCATGTTTGGTGAAGTGGAGGGTCAGCAAAAATGAAGGAAACCTTCCATGAGATGGATGGACACAACAGCCACGACAATGGACTCCAACATACCAACAATCATGAAGATGGCACAGGACCAGGCAACATTTCGTTCTGTTACACATGGGGGTGAGTCAGAGTCAACTGTTCGGCAACTAGCAACAACAACTTTTCCAATGCAAACACCCAACAACAAACAACACCAACAGAACAGCCCTTTAAAGTTACATCCTAGAGATAATACAGGAAAATTTGGAAATTGCCTTGAATCTTCTTGCCACTTGTGTAACTCAGACACGTGTTCAAGGCACGGGAACGATGGCTTGCAAAGAGCTGACTCAATGCCCCCAAAGAGTCTTATTCACTAGTATATTTACCCTGAGTCTATTTGCAGGGCTTTTATCCTTGCAAAAGCTATCAGGTACGATATACAAATCAATTACTATTGTAGTCTGGGAAGGCACTGACAATGTTTCATAAGAAAATTTGGGAATTTGTGTGGACTGTCTTGACTAGCATGAATTTTGTAATATAATTGACTCAAATTATACTTGGGTCCTTTTTCCTTAAATCTTTTCAAGTAGTAGTGCAATTTAACGTTTCACTTATATTGCCGGGGGACAAAACTACAAATGTGAAAATGTATTTTTCTTTTGTCTCTGACTCTTGATGAACTTTAAGGAAATAATCGCCTTTAGGATAGACATCTGGATGCTTTTAAAAAATAGATTTTGGAGGAGCTGAAAGATAAAATACTTGAAAGGGCCTCTAGGCTGTGTATGCCCTGACACACGGTGGGGGGGTGGGTGCTGTTAATGGCTTGTTTTGTGCTAATGCCCGCGTCTGAACTTCTTTAAAATGCCAGATTATTCATTTCTTGGAGGCATGTAATCAGTTCTCTGCTGACTGTTATGAAAAATATAGATAGAAGCAAAATCTCAAATGCTGTTCTACAAAATTTATTTAATCCTTTCTAACCTTTTGTGGAAATCTACGTGAGAGTTTTTGTTGATGTGTGGTTCTGTGGGATTGCCTTGGCAGATGCAGTAATAACCAGTTTTATGAAAAATCCTGTCTATTTATCTATGCAATATACACTTTCAAAACAGTGAGAGGGCACCCAAGTCAACCTTAGATGAAGGCAGAATGTGGTTTGATCTCAGGGCAGTTGAAAGTCTCCTGCCTTTCCAGTAAATCAATTTTCCACTGGCTGATAATGGAAATTCTAACATTACGTGATTATTACTTTATTTTAAATGTTTGATTTATGATAAAACGCAAGTGCTCCAGGGAGAGGCAAATGAAATGAAAGCTACTGGCTATTTTCATTTTGCATGAGTGAAGTTTGGACCTTCCCTGATCCGGTTTCCCTGGCTAGGAAGGGAGATCAGGAGTGAACCAAGCTCTGGGTAGGTGTGTTGGCATGGAGGTGGGTTTAACTGAGAGACTCAGATGCCCTCTTTTTCCCCTATCTCTCAATTTTATCTAGAATAGACCTGACTGCAAATGTTTTAAAAAATGTAAAAACAAAATAAATATTTCAGTGTCATGATATAATATGATAAGGAGCCCTGGTGGCTCAGTGGATAAATGCTCCATGGCTAACCGAAAGATTGACTGTTCGAACCCACCAGCTGTTCTTTGGGAGAAAGACCTGGCAATTTGCTCCTGTTAAGATTACAGCCTAGAAAACCCGATGGGGCATTTCTACTCCGCCACCTGGGGTCACCATGAATCAAAATCAACTCAAGGGCACCTGACGACAACAACAATGTGACGTTAAGTACTAATGATTCAAAAGAATACAGCGAGCACAAAGATCTAAAGGGAGGGGAGACTGGAGTGGGAGAAAAGGAGTATTATGAAATAAGGCTGCATGAGTAAGAAAAGGTAAGACTACGAAAGGTGAGCTCTCTGGAGTTTACACATAAAGAATGACTGTCGTCATTAGTTGTGTTGATTCTGACTCACAGCAAACCCATGTGTACAGAGTACAACTGTTCCCTATGGTTTTCAGGGCTGTGACCTTTCAGAAGTAGATTGCCAGGCCTTACTTCCAAGGCGCCTCTGGGTAGATTCAAGCTGTCAAACTTTCAGCTAGTAGTCGAGCGCTTAACTGTTTGTGCCACCTAGGGACTGCTAAAGAATGACTAGCCATTAAAAAGTTGTAAGTGGGGGAGTGTGAGGTCATGTTTGTAAGAAAGTATGCAATACCTTTTAATATTTCCATAAGGTTATTAAGCAAACATTAATTTCTGGAATAATCCTTCTCGATAAGCTCAGTCTTGTAGTAGATATGGCTAGCAATTTATGTGCCACGCCCAGTTCCTCTTCTAGCTGGCCTCCAACCCACAGCACCTGGACTACACCAGGTATCTCGAGTGCTGACCTTAGCTGAGAGGGTGGAGAGGTACGGGCAGTAGCACAGGTGTAGGTCATCCTAGGTCTAGGAGGGGTCGGTCACGTTCTCTCTCAGCCTCTCATTTGCCTCTGTCTGTGATGATTGGCCATGGTTCTGAAAGGTGCTATGAACGTAGGCAGCACCGTGGAGAGGTATGTTGACCCAAAGCAGGGATTACAAGCTGGCAGAGGAGCCAGTCCTCAGAGAGGGAAATAGAAGGAGAGGTGGGAAACAGCAGCGTCACTAGGGTTGGTGTCACCCAGTGTGGTAACTCATGGTGTCACCCCCACCCCCATGGACCTCCTCCCGTACCAACCATACAGAACCTTAGTGATGTTTTCTGTATTAATGTTACTTGTAACTTGTAATTCCCACATATCACTCCTTCTTTTCCTTTAATTACTCCTTCATTCTCAAAAAAGTTATTGATATAGGTTCACAGATACTAATTACCACAACACTGTAGCTAAAATACCAGAAAATTTGACAAAATCAGTGACTATAAAAACACTGGCAGCAACGAAAGCAACAGCAGATGCTTGTAGTGCATGCAGATGAAACCAGGTGCTTTGAAGCATCATTGTATTTGGGTAATAATGACAACTCTGACCGGAACTCATTAGAAGGTTCAAACAGTAAATTAGCATAGAGTTTTAGCCTTGTAGATATATTGATACATGTAAGCTGGGCTTATGAAAAATGGTTTTGTGGTTATAACTAACTACAGGAATATTTTTATAAAAAATAATAAATTTCTGCTGAAACACTGCACAAAAATTTTTTAAACAGTCACTTGGGTGACACTCCCTCTGACAGTGTCACCCAGTGTCTTAGTTCTCTGGGTTCTCTAGAGAAGCAAAACCAGTAAAGTGTATAAATATATATATAGAGAGAGATTTATAGCAAAGAAATGGCTCACGTGGTTGTAAAGGCTGGAAAGTCCCAAGTCTGTGGATCAGGATAGAGGCTTCTCCTGATTCATGTAGCGCAGGGGCTGGTGAAACGAAGATTGGCAGGTCGGAGAACAGGGCTCTTGCTCACAGGCTGTGAAGATCAATGAACCCCAAGACAGGCAGGCAAGACTGCAGGTAAGCTGCTAGCTCAAGTCTCAAGAACCAGAAGTCAGATATACAGGAGCCAGCTGCAGGATCCAGAACGAGCAAAAGCTGGAGTTGACTCACTGAGCCAGAAAGCTGAGTGCCTGTGCGCAGGAGGCTTCCTGGCAGAGTAGGGTGCCTCCGGGCACTTATCGCTGGAGCTAGGCTCGTGGACCCATGGAGCAAGAGAGTTGAGTGCCTTCCGGCTGAAGTTTACAGGCAGAGTAGAGTGCCTCAAGGCACTTACCAGTGGAGCTACAGAGTTTTGGAACACTTACCCCACAGGGCAGACGTGGGCGCAAGGCTTGAAGGGCAGAGAGGCCAAGAAACCAGGAAGCAGCAGCTGAAGTGACAAGGAACAAAGGGAGCTGAGCTGCCTCAGTCTTAAAGGATATGGTCAATACCTCTGAAGTCTCAAAGGGTGGAGCCATGGCCTCTGGAGTTTCTAAGGGTGGAGTCGCCACTCAGATGGACTAGGAGAATGGTGTGCCTAAAGCTGAGGGAGCAGAGTTGCTGTTCCAGTGGGCCTGGAATGTGGAGCTGAAGCCCAGGGCCAAGGGGCCTCCACTCAGAATCCAGAGAGTATGGCCAATACCTACAGTCTGGAGGGCAGGGCCATTATGTAGATGGTCTCAGAGAACAGAGAATTATTTTCAAAGCCTTGAGGGCTAATGTGTTCTGCTGACTTGCTTGGTGCTTGTCGTGCCTTCTTTCCCTCCAATTTCTCCCGTTTGTAATGGAAATGTCTACCTTGTGGCTGTTGCACCACTGTACTTTGGAAGCAGATAATTTGTATTCTAGATTTCACAGATGAGGAAGAATTTTTGGATTTTGGATTTGGAGTTGATTTAAGACTTTTGCTATGATATGATGGGGTGACTGTGTTTTACATGTGGCAAGGACATGAATTTTGTGGGGCCAAAAGGTGAAATGTCATAGATTGAACTGTGTCCCCCAAAGATGTGTGTATCAATTTGATGAGGTCATGATTCCTGGCACTGTGTGATTGTCCACCATTTTGTCAACTGATGTGATTTTCCTATGTGTTATAAATCCCGTCTCTATGATGTTGATGAGATGGGATTAGCGGCAGTTGTGTTAATGAAGCAGGACTCAATCTACAAGATTGGATTTTATCTTGAGCCAACCTCTTTTGAGATACAAAAGAGAGAAGTGAGCAGAGAGATGTGGCAGACTTCATTCCACCAAGAAATAAGAATCAGGAGCACACGTCCTTTGGACCAGGGGTCCCTGCACTGAGAAGTTCCTAGTCCAGGGAAGATCAATGACAAGCACCTTCCTCCAGAGCCAACAGAGAGAGAAAGCCTTCCCTTGGAGCTGATGCCCTGAATTTGGACTTGTAGCCTACTAGACTGTGAGAGAATAAATTTGTCTTTGTTAAAGCCATCCACTTCTGGTATTTCTGTTATAGCAGCGCTAGATGACTAAGATACCTGGTGTGGTCCGCACCCCCCATACCTCACTAGAGATGCCACTGGTAGGAGAGATCAAGAAGCCTATGAGAGGGAGGGCATGGTCACAGGTGCAGAGGGAGAGAAAAGAGAAGACCTGTCCAGAGATGAGATGTCCAATTCCTACAAGACCCAGCTGTACTAGGACTTTGTTTCTGTGCAACTCCCAGTGCTACTTGGACTGATCTGAGCTGCTTTCTGATTCTTGCAGGAAACACCTGGGGACTAATGACACAGGAAATAGAGAAACTTTAAGAAATAATGAATGAGAAGGTGTTTTGCCTAACCAGGACCACTATAAAACCAAACCTGTTGCCATCAAGTTGATTCCTACTCATGGCTACCCCATGTGTTAGAGCTGCCCTGTAGAGTTTTCTTGGCTATAATCTTTACAGAAGCAGGTTGCCAGGACCTTCTTCTATGGAGTCACTGGATGAGTTCAAACTGTCAACCTTTCCGGTACTAGTCAAGTACAAACTATCCGCACCACCCAGGGACTCCATAGTGGTTAACGTGCTCCACTGCGAACCCAAAGATGGGGAGTTCAAGTTCGCCCAGAGGTGCCTTGGGAAGTTCAAGTTCGCCCAGAGGTGCCTTGGAAGAAAGACCTAGTGGTCTACTTCCAAAAAAACAGCCATCGAAAACCCCATGGAGCACAGTTCGATTCGGACATACGTGGGATCGCCATGAGTCAGAATCAACGCCATGGCAGCTGGTTTGGTTTGTTTGGATCACTATAGGGTTGTATTTTTTTGTAGAATTTTTTATTAGTCTTTCGTGTTCACTCATTCATTCATCCTTCTCTTTCTTCACTGTCATTTTTTGAAAGACCAGGTCTAAGAGAGTCTTAATTTTGAGTAGCATGTAGCAGGCATTCAATAAATATTTGTTGAATTAATCCATAGAATATATTTGAACTAAGCTTTAATTTAGTCATTTCATATTTGGAAAAGGGCTTATAAGAGTGTACTGCCTACAGTACTGAATTTGGACTATAGATTGAAAAATAATGAAAAATGAAAATCACCCCAAAAGATTTTTGACTGTAATTTTAAAAGCAGGAGGTTATGTTTGATGGTTGCCTTTTTTTTTTTTAAGTATTTCTGAGTATTCATTTGCTTGTTGTGAGAAACAAAGGGAGAGATACTGTCACCACTATTTATTTTGCTGACAATTGGAAGCCAGATAAGCCATGGAAGAATGAAGGCCTCCTCCATGTCTCAGTGATTTATGTGTTTATTCAGGGTGAGATCAGAGTACCAGGAGGGACTTAAGAGAAATTAATGTACACATTTTAGACGTTACTTTTATACTCACCCAAAAGAGCCCTGGTGGCACAGTGGTTAAGCGCTTGGCTGCTAACTGAAGGGTCGACAGTTCGAACCCACCAGCTGTTCCATGGGAGAAAGATGTGGCAGTCTGCTTCTGTAAAGATTTATAGCCTTGGGAACCCTATAGGGCAGTTCTATTCTGTCCTATAGTCGCTGTGAGTCAGAATCGACTTGACAGCAATGGGTTTTGTTTGGTTTGGGTTTTTTTACACTTAATAATATATTAGTAATTGAGGAAGCATACTCATTTCTAAACCTCTGAGTCGAATTATATTTTATGAACGTCAGGTAATTTACTTGTCCAGTCCCATGATGATAGACATTTAGGTTATTTCCAATCTTTTGCTATAACAAATAGTGCTGCAAAGAAATACTTGAGATTTACATCATTATACACACATGTAAATACATTTGTAAGGGGAGTTGCTGAGTAAAAGGGCATGGCATTATACTTGAGAAATATTGCCCAATTGCCTTCCTTAGGGATCTCTGGTGGTGCAGTGGTTAAGAGCTTGGAATCTTCCCCAATATATTATCAACAAAAGTTTATACAGCCACACCCTGGGTGTTCTCTATAGAGCATAATTTCTCATTTCTTGCAGTATTATAGGCTGGGAATTTTCCAAATTGTATGTCAATCCATAAACATGTGTCAGCTTGGCTAGGCCATGATTCCCAGTATTGTGTGATTGTCCACCATTTTGTCATCTGATGTGATTTTCCTATGTGTTGTAAATCCTCCCTCAAGGATGTTAATGAGGCAGGATTAATGGCAGTTATGTTAATGAGGTAGGACTCAATCTACAAGATTAGGTTTTATCTTAAATTAATTTCTTTTGAGATATAAAAGAGAGAGCTAGCAGAGAGACAAGGGGACTTCCTACCACCAAGAAAGCAGAGCCAGGAGCAGAGTGCATCCTTTGGACCTGGGGTCACTGTGCTGAGAAGCTCCTAGACCAGGGGAAGATTGATGACAAGGACCTTTCCCCAGAGCCGACAGAGAGAGAAAGCTTCCCCTGGAGTTGGGGCCCTAAATTTGGGCTTCTAGCCTACCAGGCTGTGAGAGAATAAACTTGTGTTTATTAAAGCCATCCACTTGTGGTATTTCTGTTAAAGCAGCACTAGATAACTAAGATACAGTCCTTTTTGCTTAATTGTTTCTTCCTCAATCTATCTCTTTCCTCTCATATTTTACTGTGAGCAGCAAGGAGAAACCAGGCCATACCTTCCGCATTTTGCTTGGAAGTCTCCTCGGCTAAATGTCCAAATTCATCAGTTACAAGTTCTACTTTCCATCCAACAGCAGAACATAATTCAGCCAAGTTCTCTGCCACTTTATAACAAGGAAACTCCATTGTGAAATAACATGTTCCTCATTTCCATCTGAGACCTCATCAGAGGCACTTTTAACATCTATTATTTCTACCAACATTCTCTTCAAGGCAATATAGGCTTTTTCTGTCATGTGCCTCAAAACTATTCCAACCCATACCGATTTCCATTTCCAAACCCACTTTCAAATTTTAGGTATTTGTTACCGCAGCACTCCATTTCCTAATATCAGATTCTGTCTTTGTATACAAAGGCTGCCATTGATGGACATGTTGTGTTGTTTCCACCTGTTGGCTATTGTGAAAAGTGCTGCCACAGACACTGGTGTATAGGTTTCTGCTTGTGTTCCTGCCTTCACTTTTTCTGAGTATATACCTTGGATTGGAATGGCTGGGTCATATGGTAATTCTATGTTTAACTTTTTGAGAACCGCCAAACTGTTTTCCACAATGGCTGTACCATTTTACATTCCCACCAGCAATGGGGAGCAAACACTTTTACTTCTGCAAACCTAAGTCTGTGGCTGCAAAATTCACCCTGGATCCTGGACCATCATATCATTCATTTCCTCAGACAACTTTATGAGTTCAGTATCACCACCAGCATTTTACAAAGGCGGGAACATGTTGGCACTTTGTCCAAGATGGCGCATGCCATGAAGAGCCAAGCTGGGACATTCCGGGCTGGCCTCACTCCAGAGCTGCCATCATTTCGCACCACCACAAGGTTGCCTCTCTGTTCCAATTGCTGTCCCTTCTCCTTGTGGTTGTTGGTGAGATGTCATCATCCCAGTGAACTTTGCCTTGGAGTCAAAAGGACTGGTCTCAAAGATCTTGGACTTTGAAGCTCTCTTTTCTGATCAGTGATGCCCTTGACTCCTCTCTTCTTAATGCCCTGACCTGCGATTGTCAGATTGCTACATCAGCCCTTCAATTGCACCCATTTCTTCCTGAACCCTCCAATGTGGGCTTCACTCATCTTGCTCTCCAATGTGGCCACTGCAAGGTATTTAGCCTGACTTATTTTCCATCAGATATGGTGCATTAGAGTTCCTTCCTGGAATCTTTGCAAGATTCAAATTCCAATCTCGAAAACCCTGAATTTTCTCCTTTGCAAGCTCTGAAATTATTCCTTAGGAATTAATATTCTCAGCAATTGTGGGCGATGGTTGCACAACATGATTAATGTAATTGAGATCACTAAATTGTACACCTGAAAAATGTCGAATTGGCAAATGTTGTGTTATATATAAATATTACAACAGTTAAAAAAAAAAACTGATTTAATTTTTTTTTTTTTTTAGAAAGGGACCGAGAAGAGGCTGTATGTTGGTTGCCAAAGTCCTGGGTGAGCACCGGGTGAAGCCATTTCAGAACTCTGCTGAGGTCAGAGAGCTGCAGGTACAGCGACTTGCAGTGAGCGAGTGGCTTAGCTTGTGTGGGTATCATCTTCCCCACTGAAATGCAGGCCAGTGCTACCAGTTTCAGCTGTCTCATTTTCTCCGGCAATAACAACAGCAGCTGGCATCTAGCCCTCACTGATGATTTGCCAGACCCTCTGGATTATTTTATTTAAGAGTATTTGCAACAATCTTATGAGGCAGATCCTATTACAATGCTCCTCCTCCTCTTCCTTCTCCTCTTTCCCATATATATGCATTGAGACTGAGGCTTAGAGTCATGATGTTACCAAAGCCCTAGAGTTTGCATGTGGTATAAAATCATGTCCTCCCACGTGCGCTAGGTGAATAGATGTCCTCGCTGTCATCTTGCGCAGAATTTCTGCTTCAGTACATAGGATTTTGGTGGTTTTGAGCACTATAGCAGCCAAGCTATTGATCAGGGCAGAGACGAGGGCTTCCATTGTGGATATGGGCAGAGGGCACAAGGGGCGGGATTCGGGAAAAGTAGGACACAGAGCCAGTCCCCCAAGACGACCACAGCCCAATTTTCTCTCACAGTTGGCCATGCCTGGGCTTGTGTCTAAAATCTTTCTCCTCTGTGGATTGATTCCACATACTGTGACACATACACATTTTTATTTGTTAATATTATAAAACCAACCCATTGACATCAAGTTAATTCCTACTCATAGCGACCTTATAGAAGAGAGTAGAACTGCCCCATAGGGTTTTCAAGAAGTAGCTGATAGATTTGAACTGCCGAACTTTTGGTAAGCAGCTGAGCTCTTAACTACCGTGCCACCAGGGCTCCATTAATATTATGGAAGACCCTAAAATAAACAGAGAAAGCCAAACATGCCATTTAACCACAGAGGATGGGAGATGAGAAAGTCTTCACTTTCTGCCATAGAAACGATTCTACTTCAGATGGGTGGGGTGTTGGAGTTACCAGTTTGGAACATCCCCCTGAAGTCTGTGTAAGTAATCCAAGGAGCAGAAGTGAGGCTGGTTAAACTTACCTGGAGCATCAAGGAAGGCTTCTGGGGCTGTGAAGCCTGAGCAGGAGGGGTGTGATTTGAAAACCAACGTGTGTCCCGGTGAGCACTCAAGTTAGGGAAGAGCATTTAGTCTTCTGGATCTGGTTGGGGGACTGAGCGGAGGGCTCAGAGGATAGCTGACGCTGAGGAGTATGGCCAGGGCCAAGTCGTGGTGAGTCTCTGCCCTGGGAAGGAGGTGGTGTCCTGTAGGGATGGCGGGGACACAGGAAGCCCGAAGGCAGGGAAGCAGCAGGCCTCAATGTTAGGAAAGTCATTTTGTCAAGTTAGAATGTACGCCAGCAAACAACAACAATATTGCTAAGGGGAGGTTTGAGGGATGGGACTGGAGGCAGAAAGATGAATGGGGCCCTTTTCCAATATTTCATGGGAAAATGATGCAGATCATGGGTCAGGGCCGCAGAGCAGAGGTGGGGCTGAGCCCTGTGTTGGGGACTCATCTCTCTTCACGGTGAGACCCAAGGCTCCAGCATCCCAGTAGTCGGGGTTCAGAAGGAATGGGGTCCTGCACGTTCTGCATGTTTTAAACGAATGCTAGAATATGAATGCAGAAACCACAAATATCACAGTTGAATACTCACAGTCCCCTGGCCAGAGGAACTTGTTCACGGATGGATAGGCTTCCCTTCTAAGGGATATCAACCACTGCCTGGTGGCTCCCTCCCCCAACACTCTCATTTAATTCATGAGCAGAACTGGTCAGGTGTCTCCTCCACTCTCTTCCCTTCCTGGTCTACCGATGCCTAGAGAGCCTCACCTTTCTAATCAAACATGCTCATTAAGTTGACTATTTGTACAAAGAACATTTTCTCCCAGGGAGGGATAGAGAGGTCGACTCATCCAAGACATCAAATGCAGCAATTCCTCAGCAGAGTCTCCTGCATCCAGGCAGCATTCCAGAGAAGCAGTGGAGTGGAGGGTTTTAGTTCATTAACATATAACCTTTTTTCAAATACCATTATCCCATCTAGTTCCATACACATAATGACACTATTTTCATGTCCTGGCTGACACCCTTTCTCCACAGTGTTTTTAGTCTTGTGCTTACAGCATGCATTTAGGATGAAAATGGGGTTCACAGGCCACATCCATTTAGCAGTCATTGGGTTAATGAGGAGGTTGTCTTGGTGTTAACGAATTTCCGCATAGTGCCAGAGCAGCATTAGCAAGAAATGAATCAGTGAGCATGAATCAGTGAGGATGCTTGGCAGTTTCCAAAAGGGCATAGCTGTTGGCATCGCCTGAGTTGTATTTTTGCAGCAGGATGTAAGGGACAAAACCGAGCTACCTGCGTTCAGTATTTCAGCAGGATGAAAATATTATGCTGCAGGATGTCATAATAATAATAAAAATATGTTACCTAAAATGACTGGTTTCTGTAAAGATTACAGCCAAGAAAATCCTGTGGAGCAGTTCTACTCTGCAACACATGGGGTTGTCTTGAGTTGGAATCCACTTGACGGCAATGGGTTTTGGTTTTGGCAGAAGGCAGGTGTACCTACCTTTTCTTATCTTGAGAAAGGATCCCAAGTTATTTCCCCCATCGTGCCCGCCTCCCCCACCTCCACTGCCCCCCGCTTTACTCACACAATCTGGGCACAGAAAGGCCAGTATCCAGGGCATGGAAACTCTAAGTTATGTGTTCAAGGCCTTGTCCAGTGACATGAACAGTCAGTGGAGCTTCCTGGAAGCCCCAAAGCAGAGCGCAGTTCCTTGGGGAGGGGTGTCCACCTTTTGGGCTTAAAGGCTGCCAGGACTGCGTTGAATTTTTGATGCCCCAAATGAAAATAATTTCTGGTGGACCTCAGGGCAAAGGCTAAGTGTGACGGTTCTCTGGGCCCAGGTCACACTCCATGCTCCAGTGGAAAGCTTTACATGGGTCGTCTGGTTTACTTGGCATAGTTACTCCCTGTTCTGAGGCAGCAGATTCTGGGTTTGAATCCTGGCCTACCTCCACCTGTTGGGTGACCCTGGCTACCTCTCTGCACCTCTGTTTCCTTATCTGCAAAATGAGGAAATCATGGTAAGCACCTCACAGAGAAATCAAGGACACAAAGACAGCTGGAAAATCCCCAAATATTGGAGATGTAGCAACACACTTCTAAATAACACATGGTCAGAGAACAAGTCTCAAGAGAAATTAAAAAATATTTTGAACTAAATGAAAATAAAAGTACAACTTCCTAAAATTTTTGGGATGCCATACTTCACAGGAATGTTATCAGGATTGCACTATTGCTGTTGTTAGTGGCCATAAAGGTGGCTCTGACTCATGGTGACCCCATGGACAACAGAACAAAACATTTCTGTGCCCTGTGCCATCGTCACCATCATAGGTATGTTCTAGTCCATTGCTGCGGCTACTGTGTGTTTTGAGTGTCTTCTAATGTAGGGGCTCCTCTTCTAGCACCTGTGTTGTCTGTATTAGACAATACTGTCACTGGGCCAGAGCATTATGGACTGAACCCAGCCCACTGGATTTTATCTTGGTGGCAGTGGTGGCAGGTGGGTGCCGCAGGCAGGTAGGAAGATGGGAGAGGACTGGGTTGGGGGTGAGCCCTGTCTTGACTGCCACAGGGCCCAGGAGTTTCTAGAAGCAGCGATGCCTGAGTCTGCCAAGCCTTACGTAAGCACCCCTTGGGCAGGGCCTGGGCATTTGTAGTTTTCCAAGCTCCTGGTGACTCATGAGTTCTCCCTCATTGGAGACTGTGTGACTAGACCTAAGGGTAAATATTCAATGTTGGGATCCAGGTGAGAAGCCTGAGATTCTAAATAAAGTGGTTAGGGTATTCCAGCCCGTGGCGAAGGGGAGTGTTTCGGGTTGTATCACATAGGTGCTTGGGACCAGGTCAGATTCCCGCTCGGGATGGTGGTGTTTCCTTCTCAGACAAGGAAGAAAGGCAGCCCCCACCCCTATAGATCTTTAGCTATACTGAGTTTGAGGTGCCTGGGTACCCACGGATAGAGATTTCCTAAACTCTGTGATGGAGTCCCTGAGTATTGTAAACAGTGAACATGCTCAGCTACTAACCAAAGGGTTGGAGATTCAAGTCCATCCAGAGGCACCTTAGAAAAAAAGCTTGGATCTAGTTCTGGAAAAAAAAAAGAAGAAAAATTGAGATCTGCTTCTGAAAAATCAGCCGTTGAAAACCCTGTGGAGAACAGTTTTACTCTGACATACATGGGGTCATCATGAGTCGGAGTAGACTTGATGACAACTGGTTTAAACCTGTGATGGATACTAGCCGCTGTGGGTCAACATCAGTTCATCAAACGTCCTCAGGGCTTGGCAAAACTGTTTACCTGGCATGGCGAGGAGCTCTGTTTTGAAAATAAACCCCTATTCCCACCCCCAAAGTATAGTATTCTCAACCACTAGCAGTGTGACTCTCAATATAATGCCAGATTGTATCGCAATTGCTACGTCTTTGGGGACATTTGTAGAAAGTTGGTGTGATATGTTCCACATTTACCCACAAAAGCTGTGCAGTCTGTGCTGGGAGGGGATTAAAAGGCCTGGAGGATACTAGATGCATTTTCATTTATCTTCCCTGTTTAACTGTCCCTGGTGATAATATAAAACTGAAAGTGTTGGTTGTGTACTTTAATTGCAGAATTAGATCAATTGGCAGTTGGGAACACTTACTGATGTAAAAAAAGAAAAAGGGTGATTCACAAGATTCACTTAGTACTTGCTGGAATGTTTTACAATGAGGGAATAGAAAACTACTTTAGCTCAAATATTAAGGATTCAATTAACTTTCTATTTAGGCAAGAGCATATGGAGTGTCCCATAGGAAATGGGTCTGTCCAGAGGGTTATGATTTCAAGGCTTCATAACATTCTTGGGAATAAAATTAGCAAAGTCCCAGGGCTCTAGTCATTTCCAATTAAATGGTGGAGGCTGAAGGCAGACGCCCTGGGTGTGATAATTAGGTGGAAA